TTACCTCCTCAGGATCGGTTCTCCTGGATTCTCGGGACTGAAAGACCTTAATCTCTAACCTTAACATAATATTTCTAAACTTAACCGTTAATTAATTTTTGGCAATCCGCCGAGATAACGACTGATTTTATCTCGTGCGGCCTTCCACCCGTATTCAGTCTTGGCAATTCGTAAGGGTAGTTACTGAATCTACCCCGTACGACCTTCCACCCGTAATCAGTCTTGGCAATTCGTAAGGGTAGTGACTGAATCTACCCCGTACGACCTTCCACCCGTAATCAGTCTTTGGCAATCCGTCGGGGTTGTTAATATTTTTACCCCGTACGGCCTTCCACCCGTACCAATCAGCCCCTTAAACCCTTTCACCTGGAGCGCCGGCGTCTTTCGCCGGACCTAACCCGATCCTGAAACTCACCCTAACCTTAACCCTACATTCCCTGAACCACCCCGAAGGGAGAAAATCCTAATTCCCCTAAACCTAACCTACGGCCTACTGTTCTCACCCTCTTCCCCGACCTCTGAATTTTGTTGGGGATCCTAACGGGCATCCCCGATGCTCGTTACAACCTGATATCGATTTAGCTCCTTTCTTATCACTGTACACTATTTCATCACTCATTTTAGCCACAAACGAAGCACTTGTGAAAATAAATTGAAATTGGCACAATTTACACTGGAAAAATAGCGTTCCTCGAATAACGTCCTCTTCAAGTGCTTGGCAATGCCTTACTGACTGAAACAGACGCTTGGTGACTATTTACAAATCAAAATTATCAAATGAAAACCTTTCGTCTATTCTGGTGAACAATACCATTAGTAACACCTGTCGAATACCTGGCTTAGCCCCACAAAGGACCGTCCCCCGGAGCGCTCCGAAAAGAGGCTCCCTGCCGAACGAACGGCCTTTGACTAGATAACGAAAATGGGGCATTTAGAATTTTCTCCCTGTCATAATCTTTCGGGATAACATTTATGAGACCATAATGTATCATTTGAAAAAAAAAATCATTTTTCCGAAAATTCTAGAGTGGCCTAACCCCTTAATATATGGTAAGAAGCGGAATCTTTACCGCAAAGAGATAGGACGAGTTCAGGATCCACTGTTAAAGGACCGATTTATAAAAATAGTAGAATTGGAGGATGATGAAAAGAATGCAGAATTCATCTAATGCTTTCCTTTCTCTTACCAAGTCAATTGACTTGGTACGAGAAAGGAAAGCATTCGATGAATTAAAAAGTGCTGAGTACGAGTGAACCTATTTCCTTTGTTGACTTGGTGCCTTTATAATTCCAGTGCAACCATCATTTCAAAATGGACGACAATGGCGTCTGCACTATTTGCCAAAAAAAAATGTTGCCAACTGAGCAAATGAAAGAGATAAAGGAGAAGCAAATTAATACATTCATAAGGAAGAGTAAAGCACGAGAAGATGGCTTTTGGCAATCCTGGGAAAATGAAGGCTCAGTAAAACTTCATGAGCGTCGTAGAAAATCCTATTCAAGTCTGTCTGACACGCCACCATTGAGAAAAAGAAGGCGGACGGACACTTCAGAGCCATCCTCGTCCATGGGACACTCAGAAATTGACCCTATTGAAAAACCCATCCACGATGTGAACAACGGCAACAACTTTGATTTTAAAAATCTGTGTTTAATATGTGGTAAGAAGCTGAATCCTTACCGCAAAGCGATAAGACGAGTTCAGGATCCACTGTTAAAGGACCGATTTAAAAAAATAGTAGAATTGGAGGGTGATGAAAAGAATGCAGAATTCATGAGCCTATTAATGAATACGCCTTCACTTGTGACAGTAGGGGCTGCTTATCATAAAGCATGTTATAATGCGTTATACAATCGACTAAATTCTAAACCTCCGATTGATTATTCCCAGAATGAAGAATCGTTCCAGAAACTTTGCAACTATTTGGAAAATACGACTTCATTCAAATTTGGTTTAAAAGAATTGAGGGATGTAATGGGTGAGAACACAATGAGTGATTCAGTTCTGTTTAAAAAATTGAATCTCAAATATGGAAATGAAATTTTCGTTAGTCGTCAGTCTGGGCGTGGGCCGTGGATTTTTTACAAACTTTATGATCTTCCAAAGATTTGTAGCGACTGGTTTTGCGATGGAGAAGTGAGTCAAAACCGACAAGAGATCATTTTGCAAGTAGCTGCAGATATACTTCACACACGAATTCTTAGGAGTGACTGTCGGACAAATTCTTATCCTCCGCCTTCAAATTTTCTAGAGAATGTTTCAACGAGCGTCGATCCGATTTTGCAGAACTTTGTTGGACGGCTATTATATCAGGGTGATTCAGATCGTGAAGCACAAAATCGGAGGGTGAGAGATTCTATGTCTCACACTATCATGACTGTAATAAAACCTAAATCGTTTATCTCTTCACTCCAATTGGCAATAGGGACATATATATACAGAAAAACTGGATCTAGACTCGCCGTGGATCTTTTGTCCAAACTGCACATTTGCCCTAGTTATGCGAGTCTCAGATTATTCGAAAGTAGCATGATCATGGATCCACCCAAGATTAATATTGAAGAAGACTCCTTTGTTCAATTTGTGTTTGACAACACAGATCACAACCTATCAACTCTCGATGGCCGCGAAACCTTTAATTGTTTGGGAGGAATAAAATGCATTACTCCCGAGAAGAACATCTCATATGAAGGAGGTGCAAAAAAATTCCAAAAAATGCTGACCAGCACGGAAATGGGAGCTCTAGAGCGCATTTCTGTTATTCCGTATGAAGCCTCCCGAGACAGTGGGATGAAGAACATCACGTTCAATTCCATGGATTCCCTTGGACTGGGGCAGTCCATTGAACTCCCTAATACGTATGCCACTTATCTCTGGGCTAATCATTATAATATCATTGAGTTGCCATCGTGGAAAGGATTCATGGAATCTTTAACATCGGAGGAAACTTTATCGAAGCAACAATCTAGTATTATTTGTTTACCTTTTACAAATGCTCCTCCTTCGAATCTAACCACTCTGCATACAGCCCTCCACTATGCTGTGGATGAAACAAGAAAGATGAGACAACAGACTACCTTTGTAACCTTTGATCAGCCATTATACTGGAAGGCGAAGTCGATCATTGAAGGTTCGGAAGATCCAGCAATGAAAAATACTGTTGTTTTGCTGGGGATGTTTCACCTGCTCATGTCTTACATGGGGTCCATTGGATACACTATGGCGGGGAGTGGATTGGAGGACTTATGGTCTGTAGTTCATGCTGCGATTTCGATTAAAAAAATGCTGAGTGGACATGCATTTGCCAGAGCCTTGCGTGCTCACATCTTAACTTTTACGGCCCTAGGTAAAAAAATTTGCAGTACTATTGACGCACCGCAGGAATGGAAGGAATTTACGGAGGAATTCTTATCAGAATGAGAATTGAGAACTAGAGGTGATTGTAAAGCCGAATTGAAAATCCAACAAATGACTCAGGCATTACAGAAACAAATGAAAATTCTGGAGAGTAGTGGTTCGACGGCCCAATTATGGATACAATATTTCAAATGTGTTTCGCTCTTGTTGCAAATGATCGAGGCAGAGAGATTGGGAGATTGGAAATTGCACCTACAGTCAGTGAGAGACGCCATACCGCTCTTTCATGCTACTGGACATCATGCTTACGCAAAAACAGCGCATATATATCTTCAAGATATGCTTAATTTAGAATGGAATATGGAACATCATGAGTACGCGGCATTTACAAAAGGTGGATACTTCACTATTCGTCGATCAGATAAGGCGTGGGCAGGGCTGTCACGCGACCTAGTCATAGAACAGACTCTCAACAGATTTTTCGGTACAGATCTGAAGTATGGGCGAGGCGTCACTCCGAGTGTTGTTAACCGGTATCTCCTTGGCATGCCATCTGCGGTAATGATAATGGAATCAATAGAAGAATACTGTGATATAAAAACATCCAACAGTGTGTAACACATTGACCTTCGGGTGAGCAGGATAAAACGAGATAGACAAGATGTAGAGAAGATGTTATTCTGGTTGAACTCACACAATCCTTTTTATCCCCGAAATTATTTGATATCACTGTCAACTGGGGTTATCGGAGGGCCCTACATCAATTGTCACCAAGCGATTGAAAAAGGATTGAAACCTATGGCAACAATCATAGGTAAAGCTCCAGTAGGAGTAACAATTTCTCGATCTTTCAAAGTGAAAAATCTGGCGTCTGCATCAAATTCCATCAATTTTAATCGTCAAGATTCTTCTGTCAAGGTTGATACACAGCTTCTCTTCCAGAAAATTTGCGTTTTTTTGACGGGTAACCCTGACTCTGCAAAAACAGCTCTTAGTTATGAATTATCACGTTTTCCCCTGAGCCTCTTCGACGAGAAAGGTTGGATGCGACAAGGGAAAAAGTCGGAACTGTATAACGTGTTTAATCCAGCTATCCAGAATTCATCATTATTGAGCGACTGTCAATTTGTCATAGATGGAGCATGGCTTTTGCGTCAGGTGTGCTGGCCCCACGGTAGAACTTTTTTGGATATTTTTCAGATTTACGAAAACTACATTCAAAGAAATTTCAGAGATGCGCAGGTAGTGTTTGATGGATACAAAAACGACGTCATTGGAGTGAAAACATATGAGAGGTTACGCAGGAAAGAGACATCTTTCGCGGTCGACGTCGATATCGGTCCTGACAAGATGATTACCGTGACAAAAGATAAATTCCTTTCTAATGTTGTAAATAAATACAAATTGGTCAGATTACTCTCTGAACATTTGAATCGAAAGGGGATTGTGACAACAGTTGCTGCAGAAGATGCCGATGCTTTAATCATCCGCACAGCCATTGAAATGAACGATCGGAGACTACTGGAAGATAGACCCGTCGTGGTTGTTGGAAATAATGTTGACTTATTGGTGTTGCTTGTAGGACTTACTCCTGATGGAGACAATATCCATTTTTATAAAATTGTTTCTATCGGTAAAAAAGATCGAAAACTTTACTCTACAAGAGACAACAAATGTTTTAAATCTTTCATTTTATTCGCTCATGCGTTCTCTGGGTGCGATTCAACGAGTGCCGTATTCAATAAAGGCAAGAAGATAATTATTTCCCTGTTATCAGAGAACAAAGATCTATGCGATGCTGTATCCATTTTTTATGAAGGAGGCAGTAGTGCCGCACAGCTTTACACGGTTGCGGAAAAAATGATTAAACATTGGTATGTTAATAATGAACAGAGAAATCTACCCATTAATGAGCTGCGATTCGAGCTGTTTCGCACTTTCGTACCTGGAGCCAAAAGAGATGGACTTCAATCGTTACCACCTACTGAAGCTGCTCTGCTAGAGCACACAAAAAGGGTCTATTTTCAAGTCCAGCAGTGGCTCAATTACAAACTTGATCCTCAAGACTGGGGGTGGGAAAGATCAATGAATGATGCAGTTATATTGATTCCAACAAAATCCAGTCTTAAGGCTGCTCCAGATGATCTTTTGGGAAAGGTGAGTCTGTACGGATTAATAAACATCCAAGTCGAATTTTCAGAAATTAATAGTCCAATTCATTAATCAATTGGTCCTAAAAATTATTACTCGAAGATTCTTTGAAATATATAATAACTAAAATATAGAGTTAATCTAAATATTTCAACTGTTGATCAACATTTAAATGAACGAAATTTGACTTCTAGATCGGTTGCAAGTGCGTCAAATCAAACTGCGCTAAAGGAAGATGTGTGTGCAAGCACGCCGGACTTTCTTGCACTAAATTTTGCAAACATTGCTCTGGTTCCGAGGATTGCATTAATTTTGAAACCCGGGAGGATTATCCACAGGAAGACATAGATGAAAATCTTGAATCTGATAATGAAAAGTATGGAGGAGAAGGAGAAAGACAAGAAGAATTGGAAGAAGTCGAAGTAGTTGAAGAAGAAATCACAAGAGATGAAGATTTTTTTGAAGTCGATTTCGATTATTATTGATTTCTCCATTTCAAAAGTGTTTTAATTATGCATTTACTCAATATAAGGTTTATTTTTAATTATACCTTTTGTACTCATTTCTTAATAATTTTTTATACCGACACGTATGAGGAAATTCATTAGAAAATCTTGTCCTTTTTCTGAACTTCTAATTAAATTTGATATGAAATTCCAGAAAAAATTCAATTTATTTATTGCATCATTTGTTTTGTATTTATTTAATAGATAGTGACTATATGATTTATCTCTCAAAAATTTTGGGTCTAAATTTTAAAAGTCTTTTCCTTCAGAAAAAAATGCTGAATTCTTTATTAAGTACTTCCAACGGAAATAGCCTTTCGGCTATAAAATTGAATTTTTGAATGCAGCATGGATTGAAAATAAAGAGACTCACGATTTCCTAAACTCAATTGCTTTCTGTCCAATCAATTGCATTTTCTGCCTACATGCGCGGAAAGTGAGCATTCTAACCTCACTTCGTTCGGTTAGAAACGTCACTTTCGCCGCATATCGACAGAAAAATCGTATGCAACCCTAGGGAGGATAATCAGACAAGCATTTCGTGGGAAGGACTTGTCTACTTTTCCTTCCTAGGTGAGCAATATACTATTTCATACAGTCATATTTCTATAAAGGTATTTTGAGATTTTTCATGAAAAACTGCGAAATTGTTCAATAGATTTTGTTCCTACCCACGTACTATCATCTGTAACTTGTCAGTCATAAAATAAATCATATGACTTTTCAGGACTTTACATATTTAGATATTAATTAAGACCAAATAGTCTTTCATCAAGTTGTGATAAATATCCCAATGGACTAAAAAGAAAGTGGAAGAAGGACCGAGAATGACATATAGCAAGAGAGAGAGAGAAGCATTTCACGCGGAGACCTGAAAATCATTTCAATTCCCAATTCACTCCAAGCTCACAGTATCAGAATGACGTCAGGGCATGCGCACTACACTCCGCTTGAGCCAGAATGTAGGGGTAGAATTCAAAAGGGGCGTTTTATTCGTTATACATTAGAGCAGGGCCCGGCAACCTTCAGGTAGTCGGGAGCCAGCCTATTACTTGGGTCGGGATAATCCTCTTATCCTAATGGCTACCCAATTAGCCAACCATTGTGAGCGAATAAGTCCCAGCAATATCGTCAATACTGCAGCCAGCCACGTAGAGTGGCGTGCCAGTCGCATAAAAATGGCTGACCCGCCAGAATTGGCGCAAAGTTTCAGTTTCAAATTTTAAATAGAAAATAGAAAAATTAAAATTCACAATGAAAAACCCTCAAGAATATATTTAGGAATTAGTTTTCAGCAATTATTATTTTCCTACCAAATAGTGCCACTCTAAATGTGAACAATGAAAATTTGCCACGGTTATTGTTGAAAGATTCTATTATATAATATATTATATTCCTGGTGGTTTTTTTCATCCCAATTTCAATCAATCAAATGCTGGCATTTTCCGTCACGTGGTACAAGTGAAACGGTTTTACTTGGGATATTTTTCGAATATTTCCTCGTTTGTTGCTAAGCAATGACAATATCCAATAAACAATTGGTACGCGTTTCAAACCCCAAAGCTGTCATTAGAAAAAATGAAGTTCAAAGGCTTTACCTCGACATGAGCAGATTTGGAGGAGAATCCTTGGACATTATTGATCAACAAATTTTAAAAAAATTGAAAATTGAGATTTTCTAATAAAACCGTTTCATCGAAAATCTCGCCCATATTTCTCATTTATTATGGGCTATCTCAGTTCTCTGCATTGCTAGTTTCTTCTCAAAAATTCTTATTTTTATATCTCTTTATTCTTATTCATATCCTCAGCCAGGACTATCACAACTATTGCTCATAATATAATAATTAAATCGTAAAATAATTCGTGGACAAATAGTGGTATAAGGCTTACACCACTATTCATCTACGAATTGTTTGCTTCATATTATTGGGTACAGTTACTGCTCCAGCTCAGGAATGGACAAGTATTTTATTTTGTTTCATTGCTATCGTCTGGAGACAAAATAATTGTCAAGGCAGATTCCTCATCATGAAAACATCGAAAAAATAATTTTTTCTCATATTGCCGCCTATTTCGAATAAAAAAAATAATATTTACAATTCAAATTGATGGAAAATCAAAATTACCGCTCGATCGCACGGTGGCCCTCTGCCGGTGTCGGTCGAACCAGAGCTGAAGCAGAGAGAGATATCGAATTAGAGCAGGTAGTTTTGTTAAGTGGATGAGGCCCCTCTCCCAGCTCTGACTAACGAAGCTCGGGAGCCGCGTGAGCCTAATGAGCCCATGTTGCCGGGCCCTGGTCTAGATGGTTGCTAAGGCTGAGTCTGAGTTGAGGTGGTTTCGGCGACGAGAGCGATCGAGATGGAGAACAATGCGGTGCTTCTCCTGGACCGTTCAACAAGTGCGAGAAGTCTGGCATACTTCGATGCTGTGCTCTCCGAGGCAGTTATAATACAAATAGAACCGGGCAAGTATCTACTTTCATGCTGCTGGTGAGAGAGACCTGAACTGAAAGTCGGTACTGATCTCATGGCACGAGCTCGTCTTGTGATAAAATTTTTTAATTCTATGAAGCCGGGACATCCACTTCACGACTTTAACTTCCCAGGCTTCACCTAGTTTCGAGCAGAGCCTTTCAGACACCATGGGAACGATAATCGGATCTCATTGTGATGTTAGAGGACCAGTACTTCGAGTGCTTCTGAAACTGCAGTGTGTAGCAAATTAAACTCTTTAGTACTGTAAGTCGTCTTCGGAAGAGAACTGAGGAGTTGTTCAAAGTGTGTAGAGATGAGCAAGAGCAAGAATAGTTCTCAAGTTGTTGAAAAATAGCCGTCAGATATGGTCAAGTTCCAGATGATATGAACGGGCTCCTCCGTAAGACTGGTTCTAAGGTAATGCATTTTCTCCACGTTGGAGAATTCTGAATTTGAGCCAACCAATGAGGAGAAAAGATCTCTAAACGAGCGCCGCTTTGTATGAACACCAGAAAACTTAAGTAGATAAATCTTAGCAAAATAACACTTTGACTGGTTTGACCTAGGTGCGTTGTGGGCTGATGAACAACGAGAGGCTGAAAAAATGTCTTTTTTCTGGATGAGCTGGTTGAGAAGGTCTAGCGCAGCGATATAATGCGTAGAGGCGGAATCAAACACATTCTCTTTAAACTAGGGAAAAAACTGAATTTGAAAAGACGCTATAATAAATAGAAAAAATCAAGCAAAAAGAAAAACCAGAAAAAGAATCACAGGTCAAATAAGCAGAGAAGAAATCAACGCACAAACCAAGCGAAAAAAAAACAAAAAATAAGGTAATGCAACTAGGCAGGTCTAGGTGCTGCAGCACGTGAGGAATTTCAATAAAAGTAATGAAAAGTGAATAATGATTCCCCTCTAGTCAAGCTGGTTAATTTGAATTTCTCGCCTTGAGATAATCGTTGAGTGCCGGCCTAGTTAGCTGAGTCGGTAACGCAGATCACTGAAGTGGCGCGAGATAAACTAGTTGAATACCGCTTAAGCTGGACAAATTCAAATTTCTTGACGAGGCCACGCTGGAGATTGATTACCACTATCCTACGACGCTGCCCAATTATCATTCCCGGATCACTCACGGTAAATACAAAATCACTCGCGGGGCGTTAGTCACAAAAGTCGATTGTAATTATTAAAAATTCATTATTTACAAACCAAGAATCACATGTAAACGAGCTGGTCAAATAGATTAATTTAAAGAATTATAGCGGGATACTAAGAAAACTAATAATGAGGGGGTCAATTGAAAAGAAAAGACGGAGTTCCACGGCATGCGCGTAAACACTCTTTCATAGTGTGAAAGGTCATATGAGATGTGCGATATAATCGGCTGAACAGGTCATGCGTATATGTATGTGGGTGACGAAAATTTCGGTGGAAAACCGAATAGAAATTTTCAACACAAATACAAAAAAATAAATGGGCATTTTGAGTAGTAAATTGAAAAATCTTCAAAAGCAAAACATGATGTTATATGATGAAAGCCAGATATGTATCTATTTTGCAGTATCTTCATTTCTATCGGTAACATAGAGCTTCTAAGTGGATTCGTAAATTTAATAATTTCATGCGATAATTCCTTTGGTAATTTGTTATGGCCGAAGACCTTGCCAGCCTCGGAGAACAACTTTTAAATAAAGTAATTAAATATGGAAAATAAAACTAGAATCCTTACTATACAAATCCAGATAAGTTGAATTTTGGATTGGCGGTACTATGGTGATATAGCGACTCTTCCTTCGCTTAATTTTCTCAACTTTAAAAATTCTCATTACTCTAACCTAATTCTAACCTACTTCTTAAACAACTTTCCGACTGGCGGTCAGAACCGTGGAACCGACTCTAGATTAAGTGGAATGACACCTTCTCAAGATCACCTCGGAAGCACTAATTGAAATCACTATGAATTGTTTGAAAATTGCATGAGGTTTAGTGCTAACCAACACCATATTTCGTGTTTTTTGATAACTAAAGAATTTTTGATGGTCATGAATCCTTTGCACTTCGAGCAAAAATCACAACTTGTTAGCACACCGTGTTTTCTGAGGAATTCACCTATAAGCTCATCGTCAAAGGAGATGCAATACAATTCGGCCAAATTTATTTTATTGATTATTTCGGTCCGTCAATCACGAGTCCGGCATGAGTCTCATACTTAATTAATGAAATTAGACCATTAGAAATCTATTTTATTAAAAATATTAGTGAAATGGGTGAGAGCCATGATAACATTACATTACCGGATTGGCAAATGAAGCTGATTTTTTTTATATTTTCAATTTAATTTGGACCACGTTGGGTTTGATTTTTCTGTCTTACTTTGTTGATTGCTATTAATTAGGAAGATTGAAAAGGAAAATTATGGACGATAAAGTTTTAATGGATTGGCAATGAATAAAAACGATTGCAACTAAATTTTATGCTCAAAAGTAGTTTTCTGCATTCTTAATCCCGAAAAAAATGCAAAT